GCCTTTACTAGGTTGAAAAGGCTCGTACAAAATGTTGTAAGAAGACTCTAATAGTTATGGAGTTTACTTGCTGAACTGTATAATATGAAGCCATGCTTACCTGAGACATCTAAATGCTAGGATAAGTTTCCTAGAATTCAATATTGCTTCCAGTTTTGTGCATTACAAAGAAAATAGAAATAACAATTAAACATTAGATGTGGACTCCAATAAACCTACCACACTGTCTGATATGTAAGATTAGCCTTTATCTACCGAAGTAGAATAAATTATTTATTAATTTTGTCCTAAAAAATGAATAATAAGATATGACATCAGCACATGAGAGGTTTCTGTGTATAAAACTGGTAGTTTTTGGTTTCAAGTCTACCATTGATTTAAAATATGAAGATGCATCAACGAGGAATTATGCACTTGCAATTGAAAATCTCTTTTTGCAAATTGAATTTTCTTCTGTTTGGAGTTATCATGGGCAATAATATGTACTTGTTGATTGTTGTGCATTTCATGATCTTCATACTGCTGCCAGACTGAAGCTGCTTATGCACATCATTGTTTAATTATTAGGCAAGGCCTGTTGATAAATACATGCACATACATAATCACCAGGTGAAAAACGAATGTGCTGTGGAATTGCGTTTTTAGAGCTATCTCATGGCAGTTAGGGAAAGAAAGAAACGATGGAGTTTTTCAAGATTCTTTGTCTACGGAAGATTTTTTGTGGAATAATGTACAACACATATCTTTCTGGTGGTGTTTGAACTATAAGATTTTTTTTTTTTTAAATTATAATCTCTTTATGATTTTGTATGTTTGGAAGGCCTTGCTTTAGTTACTTTTTGGGAGATGACCTCCACCTTGGCTCTTAGGCTGTTTGTTGTCCTCTTTTTGGAATGCATTTGTTATAAATTTCATATAAAAAAAATTAGATCTTATGTCTATGAAATACATGCCGGAATTGTTTCTGGATTTCCAAATCGAGCATCAGATCCCTAATCCTCTAGTTTTGAGAATTAATTTTGCTGGTTAAACTATTTATGGGATTAATTTGATCAATCAATTCGTAACATTTCAGATCTAGTTAGTTAGATCCTTCACTTGTGCAGGGACAACTAGGTGATACTACAACTTTTATGCCTGCCATGAACTTTTTCGTACATTTTGAGTCAAGACCAACTCTGGAGAAGCAAATTCAATAACTGGATTGGATTATGCTTTATTTTATATACATACATCCCTTAGCATATAGGTAAAGTGGCGAGCATGTGAGCTTAATCTAAAGTATAAACAGAGTGCGTATTGCACCAAAGAACAGGATATATTCTGTTGTGTTAACAATCATGGGCTTAGTTATATCCTAGAAATTATGGCGGCATTACGGTGGTAAGGTCTTTATGAAGCTAAAATTTTGAAGAGGGGGACTCTATCAATTGAATAAAGGGGGAAAGTTTAACCTTATTCAATTTTGTATATATGTGTGATCACCAGGCTGTGGAACATCACTCTGTTAGATTAATGAAGCTAAGCAAGCTCCACATACAAGAAGGAATCATACAAGTTGGTGGACAGAATACAAAGAATTACAGCCACTGAAGTCTTTCTGTGTAAGGATTCAAAGAAGGCGATTGCAAGAATCTGGTATATATTGACTGTCATTACAGAATTTTTTGCTTTTGTTTTATTGTCTCTTAATAGTTATATTCTCATTTCCACAAACTCTGCAAAGTAGAAGACACGGTTATTGTTTTTACACGTCAGAAAAAGATTGATAGGATCAATATCACCACTTGATTGTGTTACTAATACAAGTATGATTAACTCATAATCTACAAATCAAATGGTTAATGATTCATATAGCATCACAATATAATAGTCGTATCCTCTAAATTAGAAGACCTGTCAACTTGTCCAGCCTGTTGGAAACAGTAGTCCTCATTTTAAAAAGTTAAAAACTTTTATTAATTTGAGCATCTAACTAAAGCACAAGCTCTTTTGAACGTTCTTTTTTTTTTATAAAGAAGGCAATCTTCCTTATGTTGTCTCTATAAATAGTCTTGCATGAGAGAGCTCAAACTCATATAACAACAAGCTTCGATATTTGTTTTCTCTTGCACACTTTTCCTTCTTAATATTTAAAGCCTATATAACCGTTTGGACCAAATTTGAATAAATTTGGTCCAAAAAGGTTATAAGGTTTTAAACAAACTTGAAAAAAAACCTTATATATATCAAGTGTACTTTTGTTTCTTTGCTTCATATCATCTGCAAGGAAAACTCTATTATATTAAGAAGGCATGGATAAGGTTAAAAGGTTCGCTGCAGAGAGGAGTGTGGTCATATTCAGCAAGAGCTCGTGCTGCCTATCATATGCAGTTAACATTCTATTTGGGGAACTTGGAGTCAATCCTTTTGTTTATGAGATTGACCAAGACCCTGACTGCAGGGAAATAGAGAAAGCGCTCGTAAAGTTGGGATGCAATGCACCAGTACCAGCCGTCTTCATCGGTGGAAAGCTGGTCGGATCCACGAATGAGATCATGTCGCACCACCTTAGTGGTGATCTGACCAAAATGCTGGTGCAAAGTCATGCCTTGAATAAATACTAAATCCATTCACTATTCTGTTGGAGAAGAAAAAACAGTAATAAGTTGGCTCAAGCTTATTAATGCAATAATTTATGTCGTGTTGTATGTGTCGAGAATTATGTAGCAATTATTTAGCTGTGTAGTATTTGTAATGCGCTTTTCATTGTTAATGAAGTTGGCTCCTATTTTATTGTGTTTATATTTTGCCAGTTGGTGCCTAGGGCTCTGAACATGCGACTAAGTTGCATTCGATCTCTCCCCCTCCCCGCTTTTAAATCTTAAGACTGAAACCAAAACCTAAGTGTGAATATTATGCGGAGTAACAGCCTTGATTTTCTGACTAATCCTTCCTTATCAGACTCTTTGAGGACTAAAGTAGCTGGAAATTCTGTCTGCAAGTATTGAAGCATAGTCGACCCCAGGTACAACATACTTGTGATTATACTTTCAATACTTTAGAGATTTTGACTTGGTATGAGTATCCGAGTGCCCGACAACTCTACTCGCATTAATCGTATTCATAAAATTAGAATGCTCCATTAATCAGATACTATATTCTCTGGTCAAAGAACCAGTTGGACTACTTGCCGAGTCTTGGTAGTTTTCAAGAATATTGATCAGGAGCAAATGCAAATTAATCTGAAATATAATTTAACATAAAAGAAATGTTATTTTGAAATCATCTGCTGTTGAATTCTCCATAGCAGTCCTCCACATGCTATTGGAAAAGTTGAAGAGAGAAGAAATGCTCAACTTTTCCTGCATGTGGGGCTGGGATTCTTCAAACTTTCTCTCATATGAAGATAGGCATCACATTCCATTCCTTTTGATATTTATTCCCTTTTGATTTTCCTTCTGCTTATGTCTGTGATAATCCTCCCTTCAGCAGTCGGTATCATTAGTATAGATTTTATGCAGGCTCAGCTAAATCCAAGCTTCATACTTTTGATGCTAATGCCATATATAGTTTGTGATGATCGATCGAGCATCTCTGCGATACCCGTATACAGGTACTTTTACTTTTTTGAAAGAATATTGCTCAACTCAGTTCTTGGAAGTTTTTCTCTTGCAGTAAATCATAAGTTTATATCAAATAAACTTATGATACCTTTGCTGTGGACCAAAGGTTATTGAAAAACTTTTTGATGTTTTGCATGAGCTTTTCTGATAATAGAAGTGGATTTTAGAAATCAATTGTTCTAGTTGATATAGTAAATTTGGCTGATTTTGGAGATGGAAAGAAACCAAAAATATTTGATAGCACGAAAAGCATTTTGGACAAAATCCTATCTGAGAACATGCATTAGATTTTTTTGTTTTTTTGGTTCAATAGGGTGTGAGTAGATTCGGACCTCCGACCCATAGAGAAGAAAATATAGCCTTGACCAATTGAGTTATTATAACTAGGGAAAAAACCTAATCTCAATTATAGTTTGAACTATTGAATTTCTAGACCAAGCTGTTGTTTGAGGATTAAAATAAATCGAAAGGAAAGAGGAAATACATAAATACATGACTTGTTTGGAATTTATTTTTAAATCTAGTAAGAACATATTTGGATTATTATGTTGAGGAGTTATTCTTGTTTTGGTATGTTTTATGGATGATATGTTTCTTCTATTCTTTTTTTTGATATTCAAAATAATGGAACCTCCACTTTTTGCATTGGATTAAGCCTATGGTTGGTTTCTTTTAGCAAAAAAGGTTATTCTTTCTTTCATGTTTGTGAATATGAATAGATTTTTCCTTGTGCATAAGAAAAAAAGGGCTTGGGGAATAATTGGCTTGTGATCAAATTGTGGGATAGGTAAAAGGAATNGTTCGAACACGTGACTTTTTAATCGAATATATATACCTTAATCAGTTGAGCTAAGCTTTGATTGACTCATGAAAAGTGTTTTTGAGATATCAAGCCAAAAAGTTGACCTCCCCATTTTAAACTAATTACCATTTTTGTTTTGTTTGTTTTTTTTTTTTCTAATGCTCTTTCTGGCTTTTGTTTAAGAAGGTGACCTTTGTTAAATTTTGTGAGACTTCTTAAAAATGAAAAGCAAGAAATAGAGGATAATTCTCAAATCTGCCCATTTAAAAAAAACCATTTAATTTCTTAAAAATGAGAAATGAAAAGATTTTTTTAAAAGCCATTTAAGTTTCTTCGAGCTTGATTGGAACGTTTCAGTTTTTTTTTCGTCTTTAATTTTGAGAAACACAAGCGCTTGGTAATTGTTTTTGTTTTTCATTTCTCATTTTAAAGAAACATATCAAAATTATGCAAAACTAAAAAAATGAATAAAATATAACAAATTTTGAATATTTAATTTAAAAAAGTAATTTTATATGAATTTGTTACTTTTAAAAACAAATTAATATTGTAATAAGGAGAAATAAGAAATGGCTATTAAACATGTTTTTGTTTCTTTTCAGAAAAAATGAAAAACGATAAAAGAACAGGAAACTGTTATCAATGTAGTTATGTTTTTCTTTGTGGGAAGAAATGAGAAATGATAAACAGAAAATGAGAAATAAGAAACAAAAATATTATCATCATATTGACTAGAAATTAGATGTAGGGACATAATAAAACGTTTTCTAAACATCTGAAAGCTTGCTTCTTCTAACTAAAGTGATGTTTAGTGGCGAAGAAAAAATTCTGATAGGAGAGAAATTTTACATTCCAAAATGTGTATAATCTTTTGGTTTTGAAAATTTAGAGGGAGGAGTTTTTTTATGTAATAATTGAAATTCAAGCATTTTTTTTTAGAGAAAAAAAAACTTGAATTTCAAAAATTACATAAAAAACTGCTCAATGAACAAGGTTTTAAGGTTTAAAATATAGAAATGTAGATTTATCAATTTTATGAACTGTCAACGAAAATGTTGATAAAATATTGATGTTGATGGATAATTCTAGAAAAAATATAAAATAAAAACTTCAAATAAATATTTAAATAAACAATAAATATCTCACTTTTTTAAATAAGTAAAAAATTATTGATATTAATATTAATTATCACCTAGTGATATTTTTGTTGATGATATATTTTTTTTTGTCAATTCTTTTTGTGATGTTATCAAAATGTTGATTTACCTCTAATATCAACGTCGAATCTATCGACATATGAAAATGTAAAATTTAACACACGTGTCAAAGAAAAATTGTTTGACAGATAAGCGAGAAGTTTATTTCAAAGGGTAGAAGAAGAGGGAATACCATGGGGCTTTGTGGGCTTAGAATAACAAAGTGGTCCAATACTAATAATGCTTTTAATCACTACCAATCGCTTTCAATCTCAATTTTTTTTTTTTTAAGAAAATGATGTGAATATATTTTTGTGTTTAGTAATTCTTTATGAAACTTTAAGACATGTAAAGGAATAAAGATATTTTAAAATAAGACAAATATATCTTTCAAATAATTTTTAAATTATTGCTTTAAAATATAATTGTTGAATTAAATATTGCAGAAAGAAAAATTTTGTTGGAGATATTTTTTTACATAATATTTGAAATAGAAGTAGTTCATTTTTAGCTCTGTCTCTCAAAGTTTTAAATGTCAACATCGATGAAAATTGATGTCTCAACTTTATAGAAATGTCAATGAAAATTTTGATAAAACATCGAACAGATAATTGTAGACAAAATTATAAAAACAAATTTCAAACAAATATTTAAATTAATAAATAAATATTTTACTATTTTTAAATAAGTTAAAAATGATTGATATTAATACCATTAAGTGTGAAATTGTTATATGAATGTAACAAAAAATCTAATATTAACGTCCAGCCTACGGATATATGAAAACGTTGATAGTATTAAAATATTGCATATTCTTAGAAAAAAGAATATGAGAAAAGTTTATTTCAAAAGGTAGAAGAAGAGGGAATACTCCATGTGGCTTTGTGGGCTTAGAATAACAGAGTGGTCCAATACTAATAATGCCTTTAATCACTAACAATCACTTTCAATCTCAAAATTATTTTTTTTTTTAAAGAAAATGATGTGAATATATTTTTACTCCAATTCAAACATTGCTTTGTTTAGTAATTCTCCATGAAACTTTAAGACATGTAAAAGAATAAAGATATTTTAAAATAAGATAAATATATCTTTCAAATAATTTTTAAATTATTGCTTTAAAATATAATTGTTGAATTAAATATTATAGAAAGAAAAATATTTGCTGCAAAATAGAGGTAATTAATATTGTAAAAATGAAACTAATTATTTAAATGTATTTATTTTAAATTTTATTTTGAAAATTATGCTAGTTTTAAATCCAGCAATACAAGTTGTCTTTTGAAGAGCCAGCCTATCTACGTGGAAGAGAAAGTCATTTCTTGAACTATAAACGTTACGTGGTCGTCGTACCTCTCACAAACATGAGCGATGTAGGCTAGAATGTTCCAATAAATTGTCACAATTGGAGGCGTATGAGAAAACTTAAAATTACAAGATACTCGGAGTAATTGCATTGTAGATCGAGGATAAGAAACACTAACAAATAATTTAATCAAATTATTTTTGGATTTTTTTTTTATTTCGATTCACGAATATCCTTCCTTTTGATCTCTTCCATAATATTACCAACAATATTACTAAAGATATGGAAACTTTGGAAAAGGTGATTTGGATAAAGATATAAATAGCTTTGGTTGGCTTTAATTAATGGCTTGTTTGTCTCTTTCATGTAAAGAGATGATTTTGCTCACTCAATTTAAAACCACAATATTTTTAAAATAAATATATTTAAATAATTAGTTTCTATTTTCACAATTGGGAAAAAAAAAAAAAGTCTGCCTAACTTTTATATTTATCTTCCTTTTGAAATCTTAACGTAAAAACCATATAAAAGATAAAAATAGATTATATTTTAAGGATATTTGCGGATTCTCACCTTATGTTGTACGGGAAAAAAATACTTTGTATTTAAATGTAGGATTATTTTAGTCGGCATAAGTTTAGCTCAATAGTAATCGGCGCTTGCTACTAATCCATTCGTGGTACTAAATACTAGTTGTTATGAGTGTTGGGTAAATACACATTGTATATGTAAACTGAATAATACTAGCAACAATTTACAATGTAACTGGCTACAAACAATTATAAATCTTGACAACTTGATGAACACCAAAACTTGATCAAAATAGTCGAGACACGCTTCAATAGCGCTGACCTGAAGACAATTATTCGCTCTGCAC